GGACGACCGTGGCTTCAAATTTGTCATTTTGAGGGGTAAAAGGTGCAATTGGCGCGACCTCTGAGTTGTAGAATGTTTCGGAGATACATTCTCCAGAAAAATTTAACGTCTCATGTACTCTGGGTGATTCCGGAGATACATTTATGAAATGTTTATGTAGTTGTATCTCTGGAAGCACCTAAAGTACATGAGACGTTGAATTTTTCCGAAGATGTATCTTCGGAACTTCTCAGTCTGTTTTTTTCTATTTGTTTTATAATTTTTCTTATTGCGTAAAATCATTGTATGGTTAATTATATTATACCTTGCAGCCATAACGGCTGACAGAGCCGATCGATTGAGGCACAGACGGGTTGCCTAGCATCCATATGTTAGACGAGAGCATAGTCAGTTGGGTCCGGATTTAGCAGGTACCTTTGATCAGGGAGAGACGTCGAATACTTGTGTACAATTTACTCATGAGGCTCAATTCACTCCTGGGGTTCAACCTTCATCTTAGGTCACTCCATCTATATCTCAGGTCACTCTAGCTATATCTCAGCCTATTCCATCTACATCTCAGCCCACTCCACCTTCTTCATCTTCTTCTCGCACACTACGGGATGCATCAGCTGACGTGTCACTTCCCTCATCGTCCCGCAGGTGGCAGGATGCACTTGTGCCACCTCCTATCGATCTGGTCGCACCTGCTGATCAGGATGCACCGGTGCCACCTCAGGAGGGTGATGTTATTGATACCGAGTCAGAGGCTTTCAGAGGGGGTCTATATGATTTGTCCTTACTTCCTCTATACCCATACTACACTGCTAGACATATCTGGAACGGAGAGGTAACATTAGTCACATTGTTACTATATTTTTTATATTAATTTAAATTGCTGACATTGATTCTTATAAATATTGATTATTTTTGGAAATTCGCAGGTGCGTGATCACCAGAAGTTTCTAAACCATGGGCGGAGATTTTAGCATTGCATCGGCTTGATGAGGAGTGGTTTTAGTATATTCTGATCGCTTCTAGGTTGAGTGACCTATGCTTGATTGGTTACACTTTGGTCAACCATGGGATGCATAATGCATTCGTGGAGCGATGACACTCTGAGACCTCTTTCTTTCATCTCACGCGTGGTGAGATGTCTATTACATTGGACGATATCTCTTGTTTATTGCATCTACCAATCAGAGGGAAATTCCTCCATCATTGTAGGATGACCAAAGGCGAGACGGTCGATATGATGGTGGAGCATTTGGGGGCTGAGCTAGGGAAGACGCTAAAGGAGATGGACATGATCAGGGGTGCTCATGTTAGGTTTTCGTTCTTGAAAAAGAGATTTGATCAAGCGGTCGTTGTTGCAGCGCAGGCTGATGGTGATGCCCAGGAGGTGGCCATACATATGACTCATGCTTTGAGGTGTTATTTTCTATTTTTAGTTGGTATTGTGCTTCTTGTGGACACGAGTACCACATACACTGATGTTCCATACTTTCAGTACTTCTTGGATCTCACACGAATCCATGAGTACAACTAGGGGTGGCTTGCTTTACAGATCTGTATTGGAAGCTGAGAGATGGATGTCGGTGGACGACGAAGCATACCACATGCAGCACGACCCTATCGGCAATAATAATTTTTTTATCCTTGAATGTTTTTTTTTTATCTTTTTCATTTCATGTTTGCGATAATTCTTGATCCCTGAATGCTTTTTTATTTTCGTTTCAGACTTGGATCCTACAGCACTTCCCGCGCATCGCTGGTCGGTCGTGTTGGGATGAGTACACTGAGGAGATGTCTGTGCTTTTATCCCGCTGTGAGGGAACCAGGCGGACGATTCTTTTAGAGTATATCTCAATCGCTTGGTTTCCAATGACATCCACTTCAACTGTTACGTAGATCACCGTCAGACACAGTCATTTAACGACATATGCTATACTTCGGATAACTGCTCTGCTCGTCGACTATCACTGCTCCTTATCTGCCCGAGCACGTCATGCGACAATTTGGGTACACCTAGATACCCTTCTATCTCTGCACCTCCGACCTTGACTCATATAAAGATGAAGGATATGTTTGCTTATTATCATAGTCATTTGTTACCGGATGAGGCTCAGGCTACTATAACGCTGAATGACAGAAGATACGTCGACGAATACATCAGGTGGCTCTTCAGGGTCTCACATTCGTACATGGTGCCAACTGCTTCAGGAGATCCGCTGAAACCCGTTCATCAGGAGATTCTAGAAAAGCAGCAGACTCAGATGGATCATACTGAGGATGTCTTGTCTCGTTGTGGTTGCATAGTAGAGATGGCGCAAACTGACTTTAACGAGGGTATCTTCCCGGAGGGGTTTGCTGTCAGACGAGTACTGAATGACATTATTGCGGAGGCACATGAGATACTTTTGTGCCGCATATATCGCGCGAGAAAGGGATCGATGGTCGAGGAGGCAGACCATGCACAGGAGGCACATGAGAGGTTGTCAGGCGCACCCAATAGTTGTATGTATTTATTTTGTTTCATTACTATAGTTTGTGCGTTTTCGCTGACATTGTTACTATATTTTAAATTTACGTGATATATGACATCCTATTACTATATTGTTATGCTATTTTGGTTTGTCTGTTATTTTATAATTTCTGCGAACAAATACGCAATGCGTTTTAAAAAAAAAACTGCTTTGAAACACTTTAGAGATGTATTTTCGAGATATGTCGTGACCGTTTAAAGTTTAAATTGTTTCTGAAATATATCTCCAAAATATTATTAAGTTATTGGACGTGTCCGAAGATATATCTCTAAAATCTGAAAGATATTTACGAAAAACTATTCGGCAGAAGAAAAAAAAAACCTATGGGATGTCTTAAGAAATTCTTTAAAAAAAAAGTTTATTTAGACTGAATTGCTCGAGGATTGTGCTCTTACGTAGTCTTCATAGTTTGGTTGCTTTGCATTATTTTTTTTCCTAATCTTAGTTAGGGGTGTGCATGGATTATAAACTAAACCACATATATGGTTTGGTTTGGATCTTAAAACCGTTTATATAAAACCAGTTTATTTTTTTAAAACTGGTTTACAAGTGGATTTGTTCAGTTTCAAACCGTTTTTTTTATAAAAAAAAACTTTTTTAAAAACTGGTTTCTCTCAAAACCAGTTTTTTATTTTCTTTAAAGAAATCAGTTTTAAAACAAATTTTATTAAAAAAACCAGTTTTAAAACCATTTTTTTAAAAATCAATTTTATTTAGGGGTGTGCATGGTTCTAAAACCAAACCAAATAGAACCAAATATATGGATTAGTTTGGTTTTTAAAACCACTTTTAAAAAACTGGTTTATTTTTTCAAAACCAGTTTATATTTTGATCGGTTTGGTTAATAACTGGTTTGCACTAAAAAACTAGTTTTTGTTTGGACCAGTTTTAAAATCAAATATATGGATTAGTTTCAACTAAAATTTAATTCTTATCCAACAAGTTATTCTTAACTCCGTTCAACCACTTTTTAAATTAATAACCATTCATTTACAGTAAATTAAATTGAATTGAAATAATTAGTAATGATTATGAAAAAAAATGCTAAGGAACCGTAAAATAAAAATAAAAATAATTTTCAATTAGAAAAATCAAGATGGAGTAATTACAAATTACTCAATCTCTCACATACATATAATTTTCTCTCATTTATATAAAAAAATTTTTTTTCCACCTTTTAAAAAAAATTCTCTCTATATACTATTTTACACTTATCATTTTTCTGACTCCACCTGTCATCACTTTAGTGGAACAGATTTTAAAAAAAAAACATATTAGTTTAATAATTGAAATAATTCAAGGTAAGAACATACAAAAACAACCTAGTAATTATATAATTTCAATCTAATGATACATATTTAAAATGTGAGATGAAAGACAAAATGCATCATTATAAGAATACAAAGTTCTCTTAAAAAAAGTAATTTATATATATATATATATATATATATATATATATATATATATATATATATATATATATATATATATATATATATATATATATATATATATATATATATATATATATATATATATATATATATATATATATATATATATATATATATATATATATATATATATATATATATATATATATATATATATATATATATATATATATATATATATATATATATATATATATATATATATATATATATATATATATATATGACCATGAAACAAAAAAATAAAGAGTTTGAAAAGTGGATTAAGCATGATTTTAAAAAGTGGATATCAGTTTTTAATAATTTTAATAAAATAAACTTGAACTAATTTTTAAACCAAATAATATGAAATTTTAAAATTGATACACCATATTTTTAAATTTGGTTTTGTGAAGCAGTTTTTTTTCCACTCCTCTAATTTTAGTTATCTTAAATGATTTTATCCGGTCAAAGGGAAGAAGGAGATGGCTACTCCCACCTACTTACTTCCAACAACAACATACGTGACAATGATTTCAAAATTCTAATCAAGCAAAACTATAATACATTAAAGAGGTGAGCTGTTCAAGGAAAAAAATTGTCACTCACTGCAAGGAGGTTTCCTAGTTTATACTATCTCTGTATGTATTTTATTATAGATTCTGTTGAGTTTTGTTCTTATAAAACTTTTTACAACTTTTAAAACGTATTAATTATTCTTTTTCAAACATATTCCTAATTATATTACATCTTTTTCTTTAACTATGTAATAAATACAATTACATACAACATATTAATTATTTCTCTCTTAAGAATAAACTTGTAAAATTATATAAAATAGTCAATACATTTAATATTCTAACCACCTTTTTTAGTTCACGGGATGTTATATTTAGATACAGAGCAATAAAATTGAGGAATAAATATTTAGTCAACGTGTTCCTGCTCACTACTCACCAACCAAACAACAGAACCACTTCCTACATAAAACCTCAAAACCCTTTTGTTCCTCTTAGTCATATACAATACAAACCCTACAAAGATGACAACAATTAATCCACAGAATGGCTCAGTCTCCGACCCTTTGAACTGGAATTCAGCTGCAAATTCACTCAAGGGTAGCCACTATGATGAAGTGAAATGCATGGTGGCAGAGTACAAGAAACCAGTGATCTGTCTTGGTGGCGTGGAGACACTAACTATATCTAAGGTTGCTGCGGTTGCTAACAGTAACTCACATGTTAAGGTTGAACTCTCAGAGTCTGCAAGAGCCGGTGTTGAAGCCAGCTGCCAGTGGATCGCGGAAAACGTCGAAAAAGGCACTGCCATCTATGGTGTTACCACTGGCTTTGGTGCTGCCTCTCATAGAAGAACTCAACAAGGCTTAGCTCTTCAAAAGGAGATGGTTAGGTGAGGTTTGCTATCAATAATTGAAGCTTTTATTGTTTTCGAATTTAGTATTCAAGATACTAATAATTTTCTTTTGGCTAAATCGCTTTTCCTTCATAAGGTTTCTAAACTGCGCAATATTTGGGCGTGAAACTGAGTTGTCTCATACATTACCGCAGTCAGCAACAAGAGCAGCTATGCTTGTGAGGGTGAATACCCTTCTTCAAGGCTATTCAGGCATTAGATTTGAAATTTTAGAAGCTATCACCAAACTCCTCAACAATAATGTCACACCAGTCTTGCCATTACGCGGTACAGTTACCGCTTCCGGTGATCTAATTCCTCTGTCCTACATCGCTGCTTTGCTGACTGGTAGGCGAAATTCCAGAGCTGTTGGACCTTCAAAAGAGTCCCTTAATGCCAAGGAAGCTTTCCATTTAGCAGGTCTAGATTCCGGGTTCTTTGAGTTGAAGCCGAAAGAAGGCCTCGCTCTTGTGAATGGCACAGCCGTTGGATCTGGTGTGGCTTCTACAGTGCTTTTTGAGGCAAACATATTAGCTTTGTTGTCGGTTGTTCTATCTGCAGTTTTTACTGAAGTCATGCAAGGGAAGCCGGAGTTTACACATCATCTTATACACAAACTGAAGTTCCATCCGGGTCAAATCGAAGCTGCTGCTATTATGGAACACATTTTAGATGGAAGCTCTTATATCAAAAATGCGAAACTGCAGCAGCCAGATCCACTGCAGAAGCCTAAAAAAGATCGCTACGCTCTTGTAACTTCTCCGCAGTGGCTCGGTCCACAAATTGAAGTCATCCGGTTTTCAACCAAATCAATAGAAAGGGAGATTAATTCAGTGAATGACAATCCTCTGATTGATGTCACAACGGATAAGGCACTGAACGGTGGTAATTTCCAAGGCACCCCAATCGGAGTTTCGATGGATAACGTACGTCTAGCTATTGCTTCAATTGGAAAACTTGTCTTTGCGCAGTTTACTGAGCTAGTCAATGACTTGTACAATAACGGGTTGCCATCAAATCTTTCTGCGGGTAGAAACCCGAGTCTTGATTATGGTTTTAAGGCATCTGAGGTGGCTATGGCTGCTTATTGTTCTGAACTTCAATATTTAGCAAATCCTGTAACAAGCCATGTGCAAAGTGCTGAGCAGCATAACCAGGATGTGAACTCTTTAGGGTTCATTTCTGCTTGGAAAACTGTTGAAGCCATTGAGTTATTGAAGCTCATGTCTTCCACATATTTGGTTGCACTCTGTCAAGCTATTGACTTGAGGCATTTGGAAGAAAATTTTAAGAACACTATCAGAAATACTGTAAGCAGAGTTGCAAAGAAGACATTAATAGATGACAAAGAAGAAATTAATCCATTTAGAAACTGTGAGGAAAATTTGCTCAAAGTGGTTGACAGAGAGTACGTTTTCTCCTACATAGATGATCCCTTTAATGTTACGTACCCGTTGCTGCAGAAACTGAAGCAAGTACTTTATGAGCAGGCACATGTCAGTGCCATTAATGATAAGAATGTGAGCATGTTGATATTTGAGAAGATTGGAGCTTTTGAGGAAGAATTGAAGTCTCTGTTGCCAAAGGAAGTTGAAAGTGCAAGGGTGGCATTTGAGAATGGAAATCCAGAAATTCCAAACAGAATTAAGGAATGTAGGTCATACCCATTATACAAGTTTGTGAGGGAAGAATTAGGGATAGGGTTGTTGTCAGGAGAAAAGGATGTCACACCAGATGAGGAATTTGAGAAAGTGTTTACAGCAATGTGTCAAGCAAAGATTGTTGATCCAGTTTTGGAATGTCTTAGTGATTGGAAAGGAGTTCCAATTCCAATATAATCTCCGAATGTCTTAAACAATAATAAGTTGGCATAACTTTTTTTTTCTTGTGTTATCCATGTAATGGCTTTTATATGAACTTGTTAAGAGAAACCTGTGTTTATTTCTCGCGTAAACTTTATACAAATTATGGTCACGAATTGTCACAGTGATTTTACTATCACATAATCATGTATAAATCGGCTAAACTGGTTTGTAAGGTGAGAGTTGTCCCCACTTATAACTACATATTCAAATCATACATTATCTGATATGTGACTCTTACGCACCCCCTCACACTCAGAATTAAGCATGTTTAGATCATACATTATCCGATATGTGACTGTTATCACACTCCCTCACGGCCAAGATTAAACATCTGGATCGTAGAAATAAATAGTGGATGATTCGATAGCAAAAACCTAATATCAGGTGACCTACTAGATCTTAAACGAGACTATGATACCATGTTAAGAAATGTGGTTGAGTCTAAGTCAACTCTACAAAACCGGCTTGTAGGATGAGTTGTCCTCATTTATAAAAACATGTTGAATTACTAAAGATTAAGATCCTCTCCATTTTGTATTCTCTCCAATTCTTCAATTACTAAAGTTGTGTGTAAATAGCACACATTTCTAAAACAAAGTTCATATCAGGACTTACTTGTACACCATCCATTGAACTTATTTTTGCATCTTCATATCATGAAAATAAATGTTACTCAGGCAATAATGATAATTAAGGTAACAAAATTCATGCAACTAATAAGTCCTTGAAGTGGAACAAAATTATGCAGAAGCATAAGAACATAAATCATGAAGAAATCTACAAGTAACTGTTTAATATTTGTTATCAAAATTGAAATGAATAAGAGAAAAGACAGTCTCACAATTACAACTTTACTAAACTAAAGCACATTAAACAAAATGGTTTGAAAACACTAGTGGAATGAGTAAAATACTCATAGAAGAAAAATACAAGGGGAACAAAGTGCAGATTACATTGCAATATAAAATATATGACATCTATTTAAGGCAATAAGCAAAGCATCTGTTTTCCCTAGTCAATATGCAGAAGTTATATCAATTGAGAAAAATTCCCCCTTCCAACATGCCTATTGTTCAGTTGATAAGAGATGGAAAAAAGATCAGCCTTAATCTATCTTTACCGATGAGAACAAGTAATGCACAAAGTAGAATGAGACAAGGAAACCGATGGTTCCAGTTGCCAGCATGATTGCAATTGCCATGAGCAGAGAATAGCCGATATAGAGTACAGCCGAGATAGGTCCACTCAAACTCTGCAGGTCGAAAACCAAGTAGTTAATGGAGTACAGAAAGACATAAAGAGAAACAGAGCCTGATGCATAGAATGCCTTCCACCACCACCGCCAATCTTCGACACAGAGATGCATATATGTGAGGACCACTGACACTTCAGCACAAACAATAGTCAACAGTAGAAGAACAACCAACAGGAAGCCAAATACATAATAAAATCTCCCAAGCCAGATGCTAGAAAGGATAAAGAAAAGCTCAATGAAAAGGGTTCCAAATGGAAGTGTTCCGGCACCAAGAACAAGAAGCCACGACGGATATTTACGTGCAGGAATTTCTCTTGGAATCTGGTTAGTTCGCACGGGATATTCAATTTGCTCAGCTTTTGTCCCCATAAATCCTCCAATGAGAGTGAGTGGCACTGAAATGCAGAACCAGAGGAAGAACAGCTCAAAATACAAGGAAATGGGAATAGCGCCGGTACTCTTGCTTCCCCAGAGAACAAAATTCAGTGCTGTTAAAATCGTAAAAGCAATTCCAGGAAAAAAACATGCAGCAAACCATGAAATCGATCTCCACCCTTCTGAAGTTCCCTTCATGGTCCTCCAGAGACGTACACTTACATATCCGGAAGCAATCCCCAGGAAAAGATACAAAATTATCATCCCTGTTAGCAGCATTCCCCGGGAAGCTGGTGACATGAAACCCAGGGCTGCAAAAACGATAGTTACAGCCGCCATTCCGAGAATCTGAACCCCGTCTCCAACCATAACACAAAGGAGCTTTGAGCAACAAGGCTCCCTAAATACATCACCCACAACAAGCTTCCATCCAGAAAGCTCTTCATTCATCTGAGCCTGTGTCTCTTTGTCCAATTCCTCATACCTTGCCAAGTCCCTTCTTACAGTTCTTAAGAAAATAACAAAAACAATACCGGCTAGGAAAAAAATCACCATAAGTGAATTTAGGATAGAGAACCAATGAACTCGGGAACCCTCCATCTTTAAATAAGCATCCCAACGAGATGGCCATCTTATATCACTTTTCACAAACTCAACTTCATACGTAAACGATATCCTCTCTTGCTCTTTTATAGGTTGATACTTGTCAAGCTCAGCCGGGCAGTTTATCGAAGAGACATTGTCGTACATGTGGAGCTTTGTCATGACTTCAGGATCACGTTTGACACTACAAGGAACAACATGAAAGCCAACAATTTCAAATCCGGATTCTTTCTTATTATCCCTTTCGATAACACCCATACCTTCCTCCCCAGTACCAATAATCTCAACATCATTTCCTTCATATTCATGAACCAAAACCCTAAACTTGAGATGGTTAATAATGTAATCAGTACTCCCATCAGTCGGCGAGTACCCAATAGGAAACCCCGTCCACTGGATTTTCACCCCATTTTGACTAGCAAACCTCATAACAGGCAAATTATCAAGAATCATATTCACTTGATACAGATCCCGGGTTCTCTGTTTCAATAGCTTCACCTCATGCTCATTCAACGGAGCAGTTGTACAAAGATAAATCGACTGATTAACATTCATCCGAAAAAGGTAAGGAGAATTATCAATCTGATCACCCATAAGAAGCTCTCCAAGATTCTCGGCACTCTTCTTAATACCGCCAAGGGGTTGGCAATAAGGAAGACTATAGTAACTAAACGGAAGCTCAGTTTCAATAGAAGTCAAAGAATTAACCTTAGCATATATTGGATCTCCATTCGAATATGTATGCATGTAACTCCCAGGTAGATAAAAAGCATTGCTAAATTGAACAAACCCAACGACGAAAACACAAATCCAACCAATCAAAGACTTTCCCATTATTCTCATAGTTGTAAAAATTCCAGCTTTCATGCAAGAAACGTTGGAATATATATCAGATAATAAACCTAATGATACATTCAACGCCAAATCTACAACAAAAGAATACATACATTTGTTTCAGCATAAGATTCAAAGATATGAAATTGAAATCAATCAAGAGTATACGAAAATTAACAAAATCAGATCACGAAAACAAGAACACAGATCGGATTAAGAATCAGATTAATATTCATAATCAAAATAGGAAACAATTCAGAAAGAAAAAGATAAAATTGATCAGGGGTAGGGAGAAAGAGAGGAAGAAGTTACCATTGATTTAGGCGAAAGAGATCTGAAATTTGAAATGAAGATCGTTGGGAATGGAAAGAAAAGAAGAAACAGAGAGAGTTGAAAATAGAAATGTGGGTTAGTGTAAGGAGTAAGTAACTAACTTTGGAAACTGTGGCCTATTAGGAAATGGGCCTTAATGGATACTAAATGCTTGCATTCAAAATTAGTATAGGGTGTGTTTAGCATGGTCCACTCTTTATAATTGGATAAAATTAGATCATGTGTTACAATTTTTAATTCAATAGCACTTTGATAAGACGTTTAGCGTCTCTTTCAGCTTAACCAAAGGTTATGAAATTTTTAATTTATTAAAAAAAAAGTCATACAATATTTAAGATGGGTTTGAAAATTTCTTCCATCTAAATCTAATTGAGATTATATAAAGCATAGTGTTGTTAGAGGAATGTAAATTTTTTTTTTTTTTTTAAGATAATGCTAACTTGTGTCTTTGGGGTAAAAGTTAAGAAATCTACTTATAGTAAATTTATATTAAAAAATAAATCAAGATAATATTTTTTAATTTAGTTTTTAACTTGTGTCATAAAAGTACAAGTTAACATTACCATTTTTTTTAATGTGTTTGTATCAAATTAGCAATCATTCAGAATCCGAACAAGGATAATTGAATGGATTGCAACTATAAAGTATAATAATCGAAGCATGTTGATAGTCATAAACATTCTGACAAGATTTTTGAACTAAATCTCAAGTAGGTATGTCATACTCTTCATAAACATTTACATTTTTGTTGAAGTAAATGTTGTTGATCATTAAAGCAATTTAGGTCATTGTATCGTTATTTGTATTATTTATGATTTCAAAAAGTCATTCCATCACTTGTTCAAAGTCAAGCATATATTATTCTGATTTGAAGTCTTAGGATAAAATAATAAAGTTAAATCAACATACAAACACTATTTATTTTAAAAGATAAAATAATAAAGTTAAAAAAAAACAAATGAATAAATTTTGTATTTATCAAACGAAACAATTGTTATGTGTTAAACCATGTACGTTGGTGGAAATGCATCCATACAATAATTTTCTAGAATACAATAGTTAGTCAGAACATAAGATTTATTAGAATGCAATAGTTATTCAGAACATAAAATTTATTGGATAACTATATTCTTAGTGTTCCAGTACATAGTTTTCTCACCAAATTACTATTTATTAAGTTTCTTGAAAAAGCTCACCCGATTATTTTAATCAATGTTTTTTGATATGTATTGTTGTTCATTGATAACTTGCATTATACTTATTTGATAATTTAAGCTTTCGTCAGATAACTTGGCTTTAAATATTCCAGTGAATGTGAAGTTTTTTCACCAAAATACTTAACCTCAATCATTCTGGTATATTATTTATTTTATTTTTGTTTGTTTTACAGTTATAGAGATCTTCTAATATGTGATAAAAATCAGTCATATGTAAATATCACGGATGTATTATCAATTACCTCGAATTTGATACACGAAAATAAGTAATAAGGTAGAATAAGGAGGTTAGAATCAAACATAAAGTGATTGTCAGCATTACACAATCAAATACTGATATGGGAAAAAAAATGAAAAAGTAACAAATTTGTTCTGGACTGGGCCGAGACTTAGTCCACGCTCAAGCAGACCCAAAATCCCTCATAAGGCAGGCCCGATATGGCCACGCGACGGGTAAGGTCCTGTCGGGCACGACGCCTTCCCTGCGTCGGGCACGTGCCCTCAACTGTCGGGCAGGCCTCCCAGACAAACAGTTCCTCCTATCTCTCGCCCTCGTCGGAAAGAGTCAAGCCTGCCCGGGAAGGTCCTCGAGCCTTCCCCCACGTTCTCCATGTGCCCCTCACGCAGGGACACGTCATGAAGTAACTGCCCACTTCCTAGAGATTCGGTCTTCCCCCTCCCGGATAGCACGGAGCAGTTACCCTAGGGCGAAGACCACGTCCTGGTCTTCATGACGCCACGTCAACCCTAGCAGTTACTAACATTGGGCCTGACAATCCAGCCCAGTGTTATGTAACCGTTGCCCCTGCGCTGAGGGCTCCTATAAATACCCTCTTTATTAGAGGGTCAGGTAATTTAATCTTCTTACTCTCTCTCTGTACTTGCTTCCACTCTGCCCGTCACTTACTTTGGCATCGGAGTGTGTTTCAGGTACACCTCACCCTCTTCAACACCTTGGTGAGCAGCATCTAGATTAACGACGCGTGGCAGATCATCGATCCCTTCTGGTCAGGTACGATCAAAATTATTATTGAGTTGTGATAGATTTGACAAGTATAAGGAAGTTGATAGTACGACACAAAGTGCTACTAAAAGTTTTTGTTGTCAATTCAAATTTTGGCTGTCCCTTTTGCTTCTCAGGGCTCCCAAACTTCGAATCTTGAATCTTATGATTATCCATTGAGTTTTCCTAAGGAATAAAACATGTTCTCTCTTTTTATCCGTTAGTACAAGTATTGAGGTGGTACACAACGCCTGCAAGAGACAACATATCTTACAACAGACTTGTTGTGTAAGGTGTCTTCTTCAGCGTTCAAATGCAACTTATTAGAGTTTGTCTTCTATTACTCATCCTTATCCATTTAACTTTTCTTACTCATCTTAATTTCCTTCTTAAAGACTCTGCCATGTCATCCTTATTGATGAGAATAAAATTTATATCAACATCTTTTGTCTCAAGATCTGTTGGATGATGTTCATAAATTTCTGGTGTGACATAATATGTCACCAAAACTACTTCTATACAATCACAAACCACGTGAAACCAAAAAAATATAAAGCCTAGTATGCACTATACTAATTAAACTCAAGTCAAGCAAAGCATGACTAAATAACATTTATAAAGCTTAAGTCTACCATAAAAATCCAATATAATAGATTTATATATCTCACAAATAATGAGTTATCAATCATTGTGAGACTAATAAAAAATAAACGTACAATAACCCTCTCTCTTACTTGTTTGTTGTTTTAGATTAACATTTTAAAAAACAAAGAAAAATCACTAAGAAAATATTAATACATGAGACTAGTATGAGAATCCACATAAACCCCTCTTTTTTTCTTTTTCTTTTTTCATTTTGAATAATCAACTTTTCTCTTTAAGAGCAACTTTAGTGAAGAGTTGTTAAACCAAAATTTTGTATTGCTTACGTTAGTAATGAAGAATTTGCATTATAGTAGAGCTGACATGGCATCTAATTGAACTAAAATTTATTTCCCATTATGTATATAGTTAACGTTAACTATCTGAAATATATTATAATATTATTTATTTAATTAATAAAATATTCTAACAGCATTAAAGTAATGACATGATATTTGAAAATTGTGAAGTCAAGTTTTGGTTTCTAACCATCATTAAAGTAAAAACTACTCAAATCAACTATAAATTTTTTAAATCCTACAAAACACTTTGGGTCCACAAAAAATATCTTAGTTTACCTATTTAGTTTACTCCCATTAAAGATGCTCTAAGAAATTGGATCACACTACACACTTCAACAATAATTTTTTCCTAACAAACATAATTGAACATGTTAAGAAATGTTTTTTTATTACTCCCTCTATTATTTTATTATAAATCGTTTTTTATTTTTTCCACATTTTTAAATATAATTATTATAGTATGAAAAAAAGAAATTACGAAGGATTTTATAAAATAGTCCTTCATTAATAATATTAAAAAGACAAATTTATATAATTGAAAGCAGAGAATAATAAATATATAATAGTATAACAAAAAAAAAAAATATTAATAATTTATTAATATTATAAAACGACTTATATTATGGTACAAAATATTTTCTCAAAATGACTTATAATAGTATTATTATTCATCATATAAATTTTGTTGGAATGAGAACTTCTCAATTAATTAAAATACTATTGAAAGGAATAAAAGATTCAACTTTTAAACAAGTAACAGAGAAAGAAATATGAGTTTGTTCAAGAAAGAGTAGATTTCAAGTATAGAAGAAAAACTGAGAAATACTCTTTGGTAAAGTTATGTTTTTGGTAATAACTTATTTTAAGGCAAAAGACTCAAAGAACATAACACAGAAAGATGCCAAATATTTCTAGTTCTTTTACATGTCATTTCTTACAAGGCTCCAACATGAAAAGACATGTTCACACTCCCAAAAGACAAGAGAATGAACTAAAACATGGTTGAGTTTTTTTGGTAATAATAATGTCTTACAACAACCAAGAGCAAAGAAAAGAATATATGTAATTAACAAGACATATACATAATACATTGATTCAATGAAACTTGAGACTCGTCAAGACATTGTTGTTGACAGGATCAGCCACATGATCTAACAAGTTCTGGTATGGTCCAACTCCTGTAACAAGACCTTGAACAAAGTATCCCAATATTGCCAACATAGCTAACCTTCCATTCTTCACTTCCTTAAGCTTCAACTCCTTCATAGATTTCTCATCTTTACCGAAACCGAGAGGGTTAAAGAAAGGTCCGCCAGGGTATGCAGGGTTACCAGAACCTCCAAAGCCTTTTTCAAGTCCTAAGAAGTATTGTTTTCCCATGGAACCAGGTTTGGCCCAATCTTGGAATCTTCGGTGTTCTGCGAATCCCATCAGCGCCATTTCCAACACGAAGAGTGTGTAATTGTCTGCCCAGTAGTTGTATGTTCCTGCAGGTGGGATCACGCCGGTTTGGAACCAAGCCAGGGCTGTTTCCTGTGGGATCAAACCGACTTTGCCGAGATATTCAGGCGCTATAGCTCCGACTGCTCCCAACATTGCGAAGCGACCGTTGATTACCTCACCGTATGCTAGCCATCTTGGCTCGATGAAACCTCCTGTTCCTTCGGGATCTGATAGTCCTAGAGGGTCAAATCCATAGTCACCTGGTAGGCTGCATGTGGTTATGCCAAATCAAGTCAATTTCATACCCAACCAAGATGCATCGCTAAATGTTTTCAGTTAATCATAACCCTCAGATCATTAGAAACGTTTTACTTTTATATAACCATTTCTAATATCATACACATTAGTTTTGTGTGGATAAACAACTTAATTAAGAGCATATAGCTTATAGCATAAATAAGTGTTTCACATATATGTGTTTATTTATAAACTATTTCTATAACAAAAGATAAACTACAATTGAATGTTTCATATAAAAACCTAACAGTAGATGACCTACCGGATATTGAACAAGGATTGGATACCATCTTATGGTTGAAATTAATTCATCCTTACAAAACCGACTTATGGTGAGAATTGTTGTCACTTATAAACATAAACATAAACAGTTTCTATGAGTTGTCTAAAACTATGTAAGTTACCTTCCATCCAAGTAAGAAAGACTTTGCTTTGATGCAAACCACAAGGGTCTATCAGCTCCACCTTGCTGAACAGCAAAAAGAGAAAGAAAGTTAGTTTTGATATAAACATAGATCAAATCACAATGAAGTATACTTGAATTGAGTGAGAGAGAAAGAGAGACCTTGACAGGAGGAGTAGCAGCTGCCTTGACAACAAAGGAACCTTTTCTAGAACAACCAACTGAAGATGGAAGTGATCTTGCTCCAAAACTCTGCCTCACAGCCTCAGCTGCAAAGGTAAGAGATGATGACGACACTAGAGCTTGTGTAGCCATTTTCTTTCCCTCTTTGTTACACCAATAGAGTTTTTTTTCCTTCTTCAAGATTGTAGTAGTAGATGGTTAAGAATGAATGATGGATATGCAGTAACTAATAAGCCAAATGGAAGAAGATATGAACAAGTTTAAGCCACTAGATACATGCAACGTGGAGATTTTTGTGGTGGATATTGAATGCTGTGATATAGTAAGGATGAGAGTGTGATCTTGTGATCCAACCGTGGTTATACACGTAGTATGATGAATAGGATAAGAGATTTTATTTTATTACGTTTTTCTTGTACGCAAAATTGTAGTGTAACCTATTGTACTCTAAATTACTTGTGGATAATGTGTGGCATTAATAAATTTATGACTCTCTATTTTGCTTCCACGTGGAATATTTGAAGTATAAGTCTTCTTAGTTCACAAAAATTTAATGAAAAATATTGAGAAAATAAGAATGTCCTTTAGACAACATATAATTCGTAATTGTAGATTTTCGCTTCAACTCATCTTGAATTTAATAGAAATTTTTTGTTTTGATTGAATTTAAATTTGAGTTTTTTTCAATTATAAAATATAAGGATGGATTATAAAAGATACTAATTTTCTCGAACTCATCTCTTTATTTGATTATATATTTTATTTAGTATTGATAATTTATAATATTAAATATATGTTCATTTCTTTTAGATTTAATTTTTACTTTAATATTTAAAATGTATAGATTTAATTTTTTGTGATCGTTTAATTTTATTATTTGTAATTTAATTTGATATTTAAAAAATTGATCTCACTATATAGATGGTGGCGGAGTGGGGGATACATGAACTCAACCCGAACCCGTTTGAAATGAGTTTGAGTTTTAATTCTTCATCTCTGTTGGAGATCGATCAAGGCGGGGAACAAAGATTGTTCGGGGATTTGGGGGAGGTAAAAATCGTCCCTTGATGACATGCATTTTTCATCATATAATTAGCTTGGTTTCTGCTCTTTTTTTAAGGGTTATTTTGTGTATTTTTACTATGTTATGTTGATTTTGTGCGTTGTATTTCGGATATTGGTAAATCTGCGAGGAAAAACGGTGAAAATGGTGAAAAGGCACAAAATAGCAAGTCTCGAATTGTCATGATAGGCACAGCCACGTCATGATGCTCGTCACCCTCTCAACAGTCAACCCATCATGCCAAACAAAAGGGGAAACAAGGAAAGCATGCTTGAAAACCATGACGGGAAGACCGTTATAGCAATGACGTCCGTCATGGCCCCACGATCCATACTCTCTTTCTATGCGTCATGGCAAGCAGACCGTCAGCCTCATGACGGCCGTCATGACGCCTAGTCTCAGATCTTTCATATTTCTCTCACTTGTTACTCCACGACTCCAACTCTATTTCACACGATTTTAGTACAATTTAGGACACTTTCAAAGCCCAAATTTGGCTATAAATATCCTTGCACAACACTAAATTTACTTGTTTTAAAGCATAAAAATCCCACATTATGAGTGAATTTTACATCATATTGTGTGACATTGCCAACACATCATTTTCCCTAGATGAAAATATGTCTGAAGAAAAGTTTCTAGAAAAATTATCAGATCATTACCTAAGAGGTTTTATATGAAAGTAATTGTTATTGAAGAAGCTCAAGACCTAAGTAGTATAAAGGTTAATGAACTCATTAGTTCCTTAGGAAATAAAGCATGAAAGTTGCGATCAAGGAATGGAAATATCCAATAATTACCTCTGAAGATGGTATAACTAGCTAAAAACCAAAGGCTGGTTGAATTGCTGATGAAGATGATGAAACCCATGGGAACTCCAAGGCATTGAATGCAATTTTCAATGGTTTGGACAAGAACATGTTTAGGCTTATCAACACATGTTCATAAGCTAAATAAGCATGGGAAATTTCAAAAACTGCACATGAAGGAACATCAAAGGTTCGTACGTCAAGGTTGCAACTCATAACAACAAAATTTGAGAGCCTAAGGATGAATGAAGATAAAATTGTGAGTGAATTTTACATCAGATTGCATGACATTTCCAACACATCATTTTCCCTAGGTGAAAAGATGTCTGAAGAAAAGTTTCCAGAAAAATTATCAGATCATTACCTAAGATGTTTGATATGAAAGTAGCTGCTATTAAAGAAGCTCAAGAACTAAGTAGTATAAAGGTTGATGAACTCATTGGTTCCCTACAAACCTTTGAGATGTCCATCAATGAAAAATATGATAAGAAGAACAAAGGTATAACCTTTGTATCCAACACCGAGGATGTTGGAAGTCAAGGTGTTATTGAACAAAACTTGGCAGACGATATTACTCTTCTTGGGAAAAAGTTCAACAATTCCTTGAAATATTTAGACAAGGTGTGGATGACAAATACCCAAGAATAGAGGTACTACACCATTCCCCGAAACAAAGACAATAATGAAGAAGAACCAAATAATGGAAAGGGTATTCAATGCTTTGAATGTAAAGGTTATGGACACTTTAGAGAAGAATACCCTATCTTTCTGAAGTATCAAAAGAAGGGATTGTTTGTTTCTAGGCCAGAATATGATGATGAAAGCAAATAAGAAGGATCAAATAAGGTGAAGGCTTTCATGGGAAAATATGATTCTAGTAGTGATTCTGATAAAGAAGTTTCGATTGAAGGAAAACTAGTTGAATTATTTAGAGAATTATTTACTAAATGGAAGGAATCTTGCTTAAGAGAAGAAACATTAAAAAAACCATAAGAACTCTACTTATGGAAAACGAGAAGCAATATTCAAACATTCCAGATCTGAAAGAAGAAAACACATGGTTAAAATCCCAATTAGACAATATGTCAAAGTCTATTTTGATGTTGAATAATGGGTCTAATATGTTAGACAAAATTTTGGAGGTTGGAAAAATATCCAGAAACATGAAGGGAATATGGTTTGGACCTAGATCTATAAACAAGAAGGATAAAATTCTTCCTAAAAAGTGTGTTCCTCCTAAAAGGAATACTAAAGTTTTGAACCTAGACCGCATGTCACAGCATCATGTTCAACATGCATCTCTTCCTCATATGAAAAACAAGAAGCAATTGTTGATATGTCACCACTGTGGAAAATATGGGAATATAAGGCCCTGTTGCTTCAGATTTTATGATTATCCTTAACCCTATAGACAACCAAGACCCAAAAGGAAGGATAAGAAAGCTCATAGAGTATGGAAACTCAAGGTTGAAGTAAAAATCCTCATAGCTCAAACTTGTGATAGAATGCCTTAAATAAATGAACGGGTCATTGATAGTGGTTGTTCGAAGCATACGACAAGTGAAAAGTCATTCCTTTAAGAAGTCAAATCATTTTTGCAAGGATATGTAGCATTTAGAGATGGAAAGAAATGAAGGATCAATGGAATTAGAATTATAACTAGGCGTGGATTGCCTTGGCTTAGTGATGTGTTACTAGAATAAGGCTTAACTACAAACGTGATCAGCATTAGTCAATCATGTGATCAAAGGTTCAAAGTAAGTTTCAACAAGGGAGAATATGCCATCACAAACAAAGAATAAGAAAAGGTGATAAAAGGGTCAAGATCCAAAGGAAAATTTTATATGTGGAGATGAGAATCTATCTCCTATAAGACATCCAAATGTGAGAAACAGAATCATGAGAATGAACAAAATGACATATGCTTTAAAGGCATAATGTCTAACGTGATGCTCGACCGTTCTAGTTAACTTGTGGTTATTGATACACGCAGTGTCTTACGTTAGTGTCAAGCAAGTTAGGCAATAGAGAATTTGATCATCCCTCGTAGAAAAATAAAAATAAAAAGGATAAGAGGCACTCAGGTCATTTTCACTGGTGAAAAATTTATTCTTAGAAAGTGGGAAAAAGGAAATTTTCTCCCTCTTGAGATTGTTACCGCTCTTCAAAAAGGGTTATATTTCATTAGCTGGTAGTACTAGTTCCCCTCATTTGCCCTAAAATGAACTTCTGTTTGCCTACCTTTTAAATCAAAGGGAAAATGCAAAACTCCAAGTACTCTGAACCCACTCATATCTCAAACATTCATGGTATAAAAATGTATGAAGTCATTCTGAAAGAAAAGCCCTCCTCAAAGAAATCTAGGGTTTCAAGATTCAACAACAATTATAATAGGAAGGTTGTTATTGATGTTGTTCCTCTCATAATGGTTATACTAGAAGATAGCCCTTAAGTTAAAGCTAAGGCAACTAAACCGAAGAAAAGGAAAGTTTATAACCCTGTAATCCTTTCTAAGAACAAATTAGCTGATAAATCTATAGGAAATGACCACAAGGGTATAACTAAAACTACTCAGGTTGTGGAATCTATTTGCATCCCCAACATGCAAGTTGAGTCACATGTTAGACAAAATGTTGGAACCATAAGGAAATAAAAGAAAAGAAAACTGTTAGAAAGTAGTTAGTGGTGATATTCCAATTTCTCAAGGAATCTAACTTAATGAAGATTGTGTATAACATTGGACCATGTTATGAGAACTTGGTTATGGAGTTCATGGGATTGAAGATTTCAGAAAAGTGTATGTTCATGGATGATGTCTAAAGTTCTCCTCATAAGCCATCAATGATCATCTAGTAAAAAGGGAGTGGAGTGGAACTGATGAAGTTCCCTCCTTAGACAAAACTGTTCAAGTCATCACAGCAAACCAAATTAAAGTGTGGCCAAGAAAATATCCTCTCTCAACTGCAAAACTGAGTGTGAAATATGTGATGCTAAATAGGATTGGTGGCTTCAATTGGGATCCTACTAACCACAGCTTTATCATATATGTTGGATTAGCAAAACTGATTTATCAGATTGGGACCAAAGTTAAAATTAACTTTAGGGAATATTTTTTTTATCAAACTATGAAGCATGCAGACTCATTTGTTGTCAAGCTCCCTATTGCCTTTCCCTGCGTGATCACTGGAATTTTTTTTGTTTAACATCCTAAAATTTTGAAGAGTGAAAATGGGAATAGAAAGAAGCCAACCCTTCTGACT